CCAATTGTTATTATTAGCAACAATCGGTGAGTCACTCTTTCCCCGCCTCAGAAATAGGAGATTAGACCAAGGTCCTGCTAGAGAACTCCTCCGTATGTCGGTGTCCCAGACTTTGGATTTCCCAGACCCAGAAGTCGCAGCTGCAATCCTAGCAAAAGTGGAACAGGTTTATCCCGGATTGGCTGATGATGCTGCACGTGAGTTAGCCATTCGTCAAGGTAGCGCAGAGAATGCCATGCTTATCCTCGTTGCCGGAATGAATGAGCATCGTAGGAAATTCCCAACTTTTGGAACAGAGATGCTTCTTCACACCATCCTCGCAGTCCTAAAGACGGGAGAATGTTCAGTTGACTTCCTAACAAAGGTAGCTGACGGATGCAGGATGTTCGGATTTAATGTGAACCTGGATAGAGACTTAATCAAAGCCATTTATCTGACGTTTGGGGATTACATCAATAGTCGCGATGTATGGGCCATGGTAACATACTGGAAAACGCTTGTGCCAAACCAATGCCTGAGAATTAGATTGACCATTGAACAGGCCGAATGGCATAATCTAACAAGTTTTACCAGCGTTAAGTCAGCCCTAACATTGCATAAACAGTTCTATTGGGCGAACCTATTTCAACTACACGCGTATAGTGCTCAACTGGGAAAGTTCAGGATTGCGATGGATCTGATTCATGACGATCCTTATTTCGGATTTAACAAGAACCTAGGAGAGGCATCCTCAACTAGGTATAAGGATCTGGCTGGCGCGTGTATTTTACTGCTTATCAAAGCAGACAATGATAAGGGACTCAGAAAATACAAGGGGATGGCAAACAGAATAAACAACTTTTCGTACATTAAATTTCTGATTCGCCAGTATATTAAGGCCACTGTATCTCGCGCCCAGGGTGACCAGATTGATGAGGCCCGAAAACAAGCAGTAGTGGCCGATCTTCTCCCAGTAAGTCCAGGGTTCACTCTTAACCACGTCCAAGTGTGCACCAAAGCGTATAAACCTGGGGATGATAGCGATTCTGATGAGGAGTGAAAAACTCTGAACTGCATTGAGTTTTAATCATCTTGACTCCAAGGCTTAGAAATTATTAGTGAAAACTCGTTACCGCTTTACATGTCTGCCTTTGAACTAAAATAGTCACTTTTCTGGATATAATTCTTATCTCTAACCAAATTTTTGCATAATACGTTGATACAGTTCCTCGTAACTCAGAAAGTTTCTAGATGCTGCATTTATAGTTTTATTTTTATAATATATATTTTTTATACTTTTATATTATACACCCTGTATGACTGAAATTTTGAAAGTCATCATCAAAATCAGTTGATATATTTTTAAATCTAAAATTCTCATTTTAAAAAAAAAAAAAAAGATTTTCCCCACGACGTGTCCGCGTGTACAGACGCGTTGTAAAC